AAAAGAAACAGAAAGAAACGAAATCACTGACGATAAAAGTAGTGAACAAGGTTGTTCACCGCGATAAATTTACCAAATCGAAATATTTGCGCGAAAGAATCTTTAGTGTATACTTAGAAGATTCTTACATTAAAAGACAAATCTAGAAATAATCTAGTAGAATGCCCCCCCCTCCCCCCTCCAAGGATTTTATTTTCTATATAATTAATTAAAATGTTTGTTTATGTTACTGTCAATGTGTGTGTTTTTCGCGTGTGTATAAGATTATATTTCTATATCAATTAAGAACATTTAAATTTTATGAATGTATATAAATTATAATAAATTACAGTTTTCGTAAATTGCGTAGCACATGTTATAACATCTTCATTGTTAATAAGACAGAACGGCACATGTAATCCATTATACAACGATTTCGATATTGGATTTTAATTGTGAAGTCGGAAAACAGAACGATTGTTAATAATTATGTACTGTATGATTTTAATAGGATTATCGCGATAATTGATTATTTGAGATTCAATATGATTATTGTGTACGTAGTTATTAAGGATTCCCTTAGTAAAATTTGTTTTTTATTCGTAACTAAATCAAGCTTTTCCAATTATGAAACTAATTATCAAGCAATTATCAAGCAATAATCGTTTTAAAGCCATATTTTATATATAATTATAAACCTTCTATTAAGAATCCTTCTATGTTTTTCGAAGAGTTTTACAATCATAATCAATAATATATATAACGGATTACACGTGCTTCGTCGTTAGGCTGCCATTAGTATAATCTTGCATAGTTAAATAAATCTCTATTCTGTCAAGCCCTATAATCAGTTTAGCATCGGTACGTGGGTGAATATCATTCCGAGAAATTCTATCAAAAGCCACGTTAGTATCTGACGATATAATTAGATACTTTCCAAGAGAGAAGATTATAATATAATACATATATCGTTCGTGGGTGCAATATGCGAATTCATCGAATCCGGATAGAACTGAAGATGTATAGGCGTAGATTATCTATTTCATGAATAGCAATCCACGAAAATGCGGCTGTTAATTTTCTCTTTTATACATTTCACCCTAAATGCAAATCGCAGTCGTGAGATTAATCGACCGCGTTATTAATGCCAATAGAAAATAATATATTGATTATTTAATCGAAAGATATTTTATTTCCACATTCTTTGAGATATGTGTATTTTCTTTTACGTAACAGCCAATAATTTTTTATGAGCTACTTAAATTACAAAAACCTTCCGTTTTCTCTCTGTGACTAAGACGTTTCTTTTAACGATTTTCAAATATTGAGATAGTTACGTGTATTTTTGCAGCAATTAATTTCGTTCTTTACAATTTTGCCGCGTTTACGTTTAGAAATTGGAAAGCCATTACCTGTCATACACGCGAAAGAGACGCGAAAACATGTGTTCGCGATACACGCGGTGACGATAAAGGCATTAAAGGTCAAAGGCTCACCTTGCCGAGGTCCTCCTCGTGCGGTGTTTCTACCCCGTGAAGCGGCACGCGCTCCCCGGTGAAGCTGTTGGTGTGTGTCAATGGCCGTTTCACGCCGCTGATGTGTGACATGGCGGCGGGGCCCCTTTGTACGCGATCCTTTTTCTTCGCCGCCCGTGTATCCACGACGCTACCCGTAGCGGCGACCGCATCCTCGATTCGAAGAGACGGTAAATCCAGCTCCTGCTGCTTGTCTAGAGTAAGGCAAAAAACGACGGAAGCGTGATTGGATAAGTCATTATTCGTCAGCTCTGATCGACATTAATACCATACTTGGCAGTAAACTTTCAATTATATATTATATATCAATTGTATATTATTATATCACAATAAAAAATATGATGTCAAATTATATCGTGTAAGAATATTTGATTAAAAAAATAATGCATTTCTGGAATTTATGTTTATTTATTTAATTAAAACGTTATTTATTTAAAACTGACAGACAAATAATTGATATATGAATATCATTTATTAAGAAGAATGTTGAAAAAGATTTAGTTTGTATACACGAAACGAGATATTCTATTGCGTTTGCCACTGTACGATGATTGTTGCATCTGGATGCTCAATCAAAATGACAAATGAACCTCCATTATGTCTCTGATTGTAGATTATTCGACGCGTTTATTTATCAGCTTGTAGTATTTGCAGTCAGATTGACCGATAAGTTCGCATCGAACAGCAGATGGCTGATAACCCGTGTCAAATAGTATAACGATATTAAGGAAATTTATCATTGGGCTGTAAGATTATGCAGTTGCATCATCAAACGTATTCAGTTCATTTCGAAAGCGTGTGCCTCCTTCCGATTTCTTTCCATTACGATTTCTTTCGAAAACTTTCGCTTTACAGCCGACGATCGAACGGAACTCGTTAGGAAGCTACGTAACGAAACTCGTTGAGGAAGCTACGTAATGAAATCAGCGGGTCGTAAACGAAGCTAAGAAGCGCAGACGAGAATTACTCCATTAAAGACCTAAGCAGACGGAACGATATTCAATAAAATATCGCGTCGTTCCGGAAAATCGTATCTTTTATCGCACAGTGTGTCTTCTGCACAGAACACTGTGTCTCTCGAGTACAAAGGGATCGATGGATGATTTTTGCGCTGATGATAAACCTTGCGCGACCACAACCAACGACCCGTTCATCGGACAAAGCGAGCTAACCAGAATGAATGGTCATGGTGATACCGGTTACGGTCTTTCAAGGGCTTTTAATGCGTAAGAGCGCTCGTTTTATTGCACCCGTAAAACTCGCCTTCTGGCGATGACCTCGTTAGACGCATTGTCGCGAATTTCTCGGCATTTGTTTCTTTAGCATTTATGCGGAAACATATTTAGTCTTTTCTTGAAAAACGACACACGTCAATCTTTATCCCTTCCTCCCTACGCAAACTTATAATTTACATCGGTTTGTATGTTATTACGATAATCTTGCGTGCGTCATAAAGTTCAAGAAAGGATTGCATTCTACTTACCAAGGAAGGTGCTGCAGATATATTCCGAAATTTGATTGCCAGATTTGGAGGATTCCGAGAAATGCGATAGCTCTTTGTTCAGCATTCTCTTGAACTGTAATCAGAAAGAAATGGAAGCGGATCATTAAGAGAGTCAGATCAATTTTAAAGAGTTATCAAGGATGTATTTTGCTTCTGACATACGTATAAATCAATAAATTATTAATTATAATGTATATTCATCTCATCAATTATATCTATAAATAAACTCAATCCTGGGCTTGAATATTCTATATCAAAAAAATAATATACGATTTTCTCTACAACTTGATGAAGGAAATTTAATTAGATTACCTGAGATAAAATCTATTGTTTCAATTAAACCGTCTACTCCAGATATACATTAGTGGAAGGATTTCGAGGATTTGCAATTAACGCGAAAAAATGGATAACGATGAATTAAAAAATTAGCTCGAGAGAGAGAAAAATAAACGAAGAACCGATATAGTAAAATCCGGATTTCGATAATCTGCCAGAACGACCAGCCAGCGAAAATCTCCTTTCATTCTCGTGATTTTCTATCCTTATCTCATCACGAATATTTACGATATTTATGCGTATCGCCTCGATTGCACGGGAAGCACCAACGCAAACTCTCACCAAATAATACCGGTTCCGTCGCATTTACACTTTCTGCTCTTATCAGAGCCACTATCATATCATCTTTGCGACAAATGCAAATATATGTATTTATTTACGCAAATATATACAGATATATACTGAGCTACGCAAGCCGGAGTAATGACCCGAACGTAATTATTGAGTAATATGACACGCTAATTAAACATCCTCCGCCGCATCCCGATACATTTTGGCTTGCGCTTCGTTTCATCTCTAAGTCTCATTATCTTGACCACAATCCAAACAAAAAAAAAAAAAAATAGCAACTAGCAATTCTAAAATAAAATTAAAAATAAAATTAAAAACACGCACGCTATCTTGAATAATTGTTTGACTCCTTTGCATTCGACAATTGCTCGATTCCATCCGTGCATCCTGTTTCAAATTTTATCGTTGACATTCGACCTTCTTTCGATGAAAATAGATAAATGCCTCGCATTATCGGACTAATTAGTTCAATTATCGTGCGCCTGTGTAACCTGCTTATAACGTATCTACCAAACGAAAATTAATGAGCGATAAGAGTACAAATAGCGTTCGCCGTATTTTTTATAAACGTATACTTTGTACGGCAATTATATTACTATCTTCTAACGTAGTTACGATTACCTATAGCTGTCGATATGTATGATAATTCCTACAATTTAGTTCTGAAAAAATCTTCAAACAACAAAGATAGGAAAAACGTCAATTGCAACAGCCTTGTAAGAAACAAGAACATAAAAGAGGCGTGTCAGGTTGACTCAAAGGTCCTTTTACCAACAATTTTTATACGTGTATATATCATCTAGTATTTTTTTTTTATCTTTTTAAATAACTTTAATTTTCGAGACGTTTTATAGGCTTCATGTATTTTGCCATTTCGTTCTCAACGCATGATATGTTATCTCGCGAAACTTCGAAAGGAGGACGACTATTACTGCGATTCAAAGATGAGAGAGAGAGAGAGAGAGAGAGAGAGAGAAAAATTGTTTGCTTTCATAAAATATTGGCATAATGTTTACCACAATGCGTCTCATTCGTTCAAAACATGATGCGCTTCTTCTGCGCGGTACCATAAAGATAAAGAGGATTTTGAGAGGTTTCAAGTAGGTCAATGGAAGAAAAATAAAAGTAAAATGTGCGTGATGTGTACGCGAATAATAAATTGACGCGGGTGCTTACATTCCGCGGCAATGCATATTCCCATTCAAGGTGCACAATAAGATTTTCTCAAGGCGCGACGAATCCAGCGAAAATCGAAATCTAGTTTAACGACGTGACACGCGTCGAACACATCGCGTTATATCGCGAAACTAACGCTTGGCTCGCGCAATCTCGTTTCTTAGGTAGTCACGTCAGAATTTCGCGAACGAGCGAAGCAGTCATAAATTCATGGCATTATTTACGGAATATAAATCTTCCTGCGATAATTCCTAGTACATTATACTCTCTATAACGAGATGCTTCTGCAATAATATACCGCTTTAAAAGCGGAGCATTGTATATGAGATATCGGTTATCTAACAATTAGTCTAATTGCAAGCGTTATCGAAAATTTGGACTACATCTGTACGTGGAGATAGATATCGAGATTCTATTTCTAAAATTTAGGCTTGGCAAGTTCACCGATAAATCTTGTTCACTTCATGTCAAAATGAGGTTAATACAGTACTCTGGATATTATCGAAAGTGATTACGTCATTAAAAATTAAGTTGACGCCGTCATAATGTAATTAAATCGCATCGATGTAATCAGATAAATCCAAAAACGACGATAAGATTGATAATTACATGTGATTAGTCCGTTTTAGATAAGATAATAAAAATCATTTAATGATATTAAAATCATGATTTGCTAAAACCACAAGAAAGTATCGAGATGCAGATATAAAATGTTCTAACGTGATCTACGTAAATCATGCACGATAAAGGATTAATCGAACTAATGTGACAACCTCAACGTTCTATTTGCGAACCACCTTTCCTTCATATAATTATCAATGAACTTTCATTGAAAGGTCGCAAAAGGTCAAGATCGCATCGACATTCCTTAGTACTGTTGGATATATATTGTTTTTATTAATCAGTCGAGGTAATCGAACCGTACTTTGTTTCATATGATTCATTGTCTTCGTCTAAAATCCTGTTAAGCTTTACGCGCTAATCTTATTTTTTATCAATTGTAGATTACCATTACTCAGTAGTTTAAACGTTTAAACTAACATCCTAATTTAACAGAAAAATATTTCTCTCTCTCTCTCTCTCTCTTTCTCTCTTTTTCATATACTCTTTATTATTTCTCTGATCATTTTTCTTCTTTCTATTTTATTTTGTATCCTATTTTTTGTACTTCAAGAAGTTTTTATACTCTAAACCTATCCATCTATCTATCTTCTATTCCAGGCTTTGATATGATCTCTAATAAGATGAAATCTTTGCTATGAAAGTAAGACAAGCATTCGCATCCGCGCCACATCATTGTGTCCGACATATCCCATCAAACTTGATTGAGCTCGCATAAGAAGCATTCGAGTACTTTCATCTGGATATTTGCAAGTATAAAGAACCGTGAACGGATAGAATATTAAATCGCGGAAACACAAGCCACAATATTCCGCGTGTTCTATCGCGACGTGGATAAAACTGCAAGTGCAGTTTTATTATTACGGGCGCCGCGAATGAATTGATGTTAATTAAAGCCGGCGATTGCTTGACCCTACGATATAACTTTATCAGCCGTATCTCCTCGAGTTTTGCGTTTGACGATAGTACAATCTCCCGCTTGTTCATTCGTGGATAATCATATCCGCAGAAAAGCCTATATCGTGTTCCGTTAATTTTCGTTGTATCATTTCAGTTTCACGAATTAATAATTTTGTAAAGAAAATATTTTTTAGCATTGTTAAAAAAATGGATGTGGCACAGAATAGCCGTGTTTACGAAGTGCATCAGATTTTTAGACAAAGTTCAAAAGCAATTCTTGGAAAGCGACCTGATTAATCAGTGATCTTTGCTCGATATATCTGTCGAGATAACGAGATAAACGGTTTCTCCGCGCTTTTTTCGTAATCGTGAGCTCCGAGTTGATTCACTTGTTAATTATTTCAATTGCTAATCGAGATTAACCGACGCCCTCGTCCGAGATAATATTAACACCGCGGCAGTTTTCGCGAAGGCTGTTTTCGCAGAAAACTTTCTCGATAAGATTACTCAACGTATTGATACGCTGTCTGACAGCTATTAGACAGAAGACACGTGAAGCTACCGATAACATGATATATATTGGACAATGAGTATACCTGTCATCTCGCGAATACGTCTGTCATTCTTCATATCGGTGTATAAAGATTTCGCGATAATTTAGAATTCAGATCACATATCATGAAACTGCATCGCCGAATTCATTTTACCACCCATTCGTTATTACCTCCGTTGCGACATACGTTGATTACGACAACAACCAACAGCAGTAACAAATGAATGTTCCCGCGCGATCGAACGTCTTTCGAAATACTATAATACTGCTTCGCTTTTATTTGCCCGAATTACCGTGACAGATGGCCGTTGCGGTGAAATCTATTAAGACCCGTTGATAAAATCGGATATCATAGATATACACTGGCATATTGCGTTTTCTTTCAGTTACTTCCTCGATTATAAACTTAGTTTCATTAATTAAATCCTAATTAATCAACTTGCTCATTAAAAGTGATTATGACCCATAAAAATTGATGAACTCTTGTGTCAGAAATTATACATATATAGCTTGAATATAATAATTATTAATATACTATTTAATATCTTTTTATTCTTACTGATTATATATTATAAGTTGAAGTACAATATTAACTTTATCGCTGTGATTTCTGGAATTAATCCAAATATATGTCGGGTATATACGTCAGACCTCCCGAAAGACATCAATGTCCGCTCAAATATGTCGCGATTAAATCGAGTATCAAACAATCCCGAAATTACCTGCACCGCCATGATGCTAGCTATCGCCGTAAGATCCGCTAGTGTCCTCAAATAATTGAAGTATCTAGCGGACTTGTCCATGCTGCCCGTCTTCATTTCACCATTCGTCGTCTGCGGTATCATTGTGTGGCTATTCAACTGCCAATACACAGCTTGACACTTGAAAATTCTGAGAAAAAACTCGAGGAAGAGTCACTGGTTGCCGCGTTTGCGTTCGACAACTACGAGAGAACAAACGTCTACTTGGACACTGACGTTAACGAAGATCGATTAACGAAGATGGGTCTCGTGGATCGTCGGATCGAATCCGCTCCGATTCTCCAGACTACCCGGTATGAAAGTTCCTCGACCGAAGAGCAACGCGAGTCGTGATGTATCGGGCAAGAACTGCTCCAGTTCCAATCCTGACGTCGATTCCGGAGCGTGACGCGGAGAGGAGTCACGGGAGCACTTTCTGATTTCACCGACACGTTC